GAGCAAGAAGCCCATCTCGGGGCTCAATCCCAGGACCCCGGGATCATGACCTGAGCTGAAGGCAGACGCTTAACGACTGAGCCACCCAGGCGCCCCTACTTCATTTTTTTCCTTGACTTTTCTTATTTTCCTTGACTTTTCTTATTTTCATGCAAATTCCATGACATTATTTTCTTCCCTTAAATATGAATGCTTTTTTTTATCCACCATGATGCCATTATCATATCAAACAAAAATCAACAGTAAGTCTTGGCATCACCGTTGAATACATATTCAAAATTTCACAATTATCTCAATGCCTGTAGAGTGGGTTTGCTCAAATCTGGATTCAAGGCCCACATTTTAAATTTGGTGGTCAAAGTTTCAAGCTTCTTTTCATCTAGAACAGTTCCCTCTCCCTCTTTTTTCTTCATGCCATTGACTAGTTAAAAAGACAGGTCAGTCTTCTGTTAGAGACTGGCATTCTGGATTTACCTTTTAGCCTCCTCGTGGTGTTACTCTTAACTTGCTCTCTGCATGTTATCTCTGTCCCCTGCATTTCCCGGTTGTTGTAGAAGACTTAACAAGATTCAGATCCATATCTTTCAGGAGATGGTTTCTAGGGTGGAGCTGTATTAGGCCAGCCTCTCCCTGCCTTCTTGATTACTGCTTGTTTGTTTTTTTAAAGACGAACTGCCTTCCTTTAAGCATTGTTATCTAAGCTACTAAGTTTTTGCAGCTGTATCCGAAGCCGTTGGATGACAAAAGAATATCACTACAGTAATGCCCCCCCTTATGGGGGCTGGGAGGATGTTCCAAGACCCCCAGTGGATGCCTGATACCACGGGTAGTACCAAGCCCTTTATATACCATGTTTTTTCCTATACATAAATACCATGATAAAGTTTGATTTATAAATCAGGCACAGTAAGAGAGTAACAAGAATAACTAATCAAATAGAACAATTATAACAATATATTGAAATATGTTAGGTGAATGTGAACTCTCTCAAAATACCTTACTGTACTTTACTCACCCTTCTTGTGACGATGTGGGACGACAGAATGCTTACGGGGTAAGATGAAGTGAGGAGAATGATGCAGGTGTTGTGAGGTAACGTTAGGCTACTCTTGACTTTCTGATGATTTGTCAGAAAGAGGAAAATGATGAATCATTAGAAGGCTCACCTGCTTCCAGACCGTGGTTGATTGTGAGCAACCAAAATAGCAGAAGGCGAAACAGCAGATAAGCAAGGACTAAGGTATTTTAAGGTACATGTGGGAGAGTTAAGTGCTCTTATTATTGAGATATAATTTACATACCACACAATCACCCATTTAAATTGTACACTTCAGTTGTTATTAGTATATTCACAGAGTTGTGCAATCACTACCACAAATCAATCTTAGAACATTTTTATCCCCAAAAGAAACCTTGCACCCTTGACCTATCATTCTCCCATTCTCCCTACCCCACCCTGCCCCCAGGCTTAGGCACCCATGGATGTACTTTCGCTTTCTGTGGATTTGCCTATTCTGGACATTTCGTATAAATGTCATACAATATATGGTCTGTTGTAACTGGCTTCTTCCAGTCAGCATAATGTGTTCAAGGTTCATCCATGTTGTAGCATGTGTCAGAATTTCATTCCTTTTTTATGGCCAAATAATACTCCATTGTATGGCTATACCACATTTTGTTTATCCATTCATCAGGCAAGGAATGTTTGGGTTTTGTCCACTTTTTGGCTAATATGAACACTGCTGCTGTGGACATCTGTGTACAAGTTTTTGTGCAGATGTATATTTTCATTTCTCTAAAGTGGAATTGCTGGGTCATATGGTAACTTATGTTCATCTTTTTGAGGAACTGCCAGACTGTTTTCCAAAGTGGCTCTACCATGTTACATGCTTATCAGCAGTGTTTGAGAGTTCTGATTTTTCCACATCCTCACCAACACTTGTTATTATTATCTGCCTACCAAGGTGTGTTCCTCATGTCCCCATTGAACATGTTGCTCTGGCCAAAAGCTTAAGGAGTCACACTTGTCAGTTCTCAGATCTTCTATCCAATTCATCAGCAAATCAACCTTACCATCAAAAGACTCCAAATCAAGGCTCCGTCATCGCCTTTTGACTGGTCTCCTTGTTTTCACTACTGTTCTTCTACAGTCACCACATATGATAACTAGGGTGAGGTTCTTAAAATGTAATTTTGACCACATCATGTTCCTGCTGAAAATATGCCAATTACTTACTTCTACTCAAAACAAAATCCAGCCCCCTTCCTGTAGCCTACAAGGATCATGCGTGATCTGGCTTCTGGCTCTTACTGACACCTCTCTCCATTCCATTCCCTACACTAGAACCGTGGTGTTATTCTTGTACCCGCCAAGGACACATCCCTACCTCAGCCCCTGTGTCCTTGCTGGCCCCTCTGCCTGTAACACTGTTCCCCTAGGCCTTCACGCAGTTCACTTTTTCACTCCACCTTGGTAGCTGTGCAGATTTCATCTCAGATGTCTTCCCAGTACACCCCAGCTAAACTTCTTGAAGTTTCCAATTCCTTATGCATAAAGTGAGGGGACTGCACTAGAAGGTTTCTTCCAGGTCCAAAATGGATTCCATTACTTCATCCCCTCCCATGGTGACCTGTCTGTACTCACCAGAGTTTGGAGTGTGCTTCATAAATTTTAAGAAGTCAAATGTTTTTTTTTTTAAAGATTTTATTTATTTATTTGCGAGAGAGAGAATGAGAGACAGAGAGCACGAGAGGGAGGAGGGTCTCAGAGGGAGAAGCAGACTCCCCGCCGAGCAGGGAGCCCGACGCGGGACTCGATCCCGGGACTCCAGGATCATGACCTGAGCCGAAGGCAGTCGCTTAACCGACTGAGCCACCCAGGCGCCCAGAAGTCAAATGTTTTTAATACTCCATTTCAGTTGACCACGTAAATGGTTTGATCAACTTGAAGCTTCTAAATTATTTTCTTGGCAAATAATGGAATCCAAATGTACAGAAATTTAGATTTCAGTATTCAAAGTTGATAGCAAGGTATGGTACATTTAATAAGAGTTCTTAACTAGGGGGGAAAAAAACATGTAAAGACTGTTTTATCAAGAAACCTAAAGTTGGCAAGATACCCATTTCTACAATTTCAGTTTTAGTGGGCTTGGGAGCCTCTGAGTTTGAAGGCTTGAAAGGAACATTATAGAATTATCCAGCTCAACAGAAGAGTTGCTCATTCACTGACTCCTCAGTCCTTTGATGAAAGTCTATGTGCCAGGTATTTCAGGCCAAAGGGAAACAGCAAGACTAAAAACAAATGGACATTTACACAAAGGTAGAAATAGGACACAGATGCCATCGATCTTGATCAAACGAAGGAAGAAGGAGAGAACTAAGACATTTACCTGGATAGCACTGCCCTTCTCAACATTAAAGATACAGCCAAGGGGGTAGAAAAGCAAATTTTAAATGGTAACCAAATACCAAGGCAGCTTCATTTTACCAATAGACAGAGAACCGGCCACCTCTGAGTTGGCTAGAGTTGGCTGTCAACTTCCATGTGAGTGACATCCCCGCAGCATGAAATCAGCTTCAAACAGCTGTACCCTCCACCTTTCTCGTAGTGCTGGCCATCGAGCTTCTTGCAGCCTGCCAGGGCATAGAGTTTCTACGCCCCCTGAGAACAACCACTCCTCTGGAGAAGGTCTATGACCTGGTGCGCTCTGTTGTAAGGTAAAGTCCAACAGGTCCCTGGATGTGACATCATTTCAGAACTGTGAACCCTGGCAGCAGTTCATGTTTGGCTGATAGTTTGATGTGCTTTCTCGGTAGGCCCTGGATAAAAGATCGCTTCATGGCTCCAGACATTGAGGCTGCTCACAGGCTGCTTGTAGAGCAGAAGGTAAGTTGGCCACTTGGCTTACTTCTTAGTTTTGGGTCATTATGGGAAAGCCAAGTGGGAGTGGGGACTGAAGAAATATTGTCTTACTCTCTTGTTTCCTGTCTATTCCTTGGACGTGAACAAAAAGGAACTTAAGCAACTTCCAAGGCAACTAAAACGCTATTTGATAAACTCTTAAGTGTCCCATGTTGCATCCAAAGATTGACTATCTAGCGATTAGAAACTGAAATGACTTTAAATGGAGTGTGGGACAGGTATTCATGAGGAGAAAATGCGATGAAAGGTTAATGGATCCCCTTCACCAACAATATTCTCTTTCGTTCAAAAGCATGTTCTCTTTCCGTGATGCTATCTCCACCACCTCCAACTGGCCCAATGACTAAACAGACCTGAACACAAAACAAAGCCCCAGGGTTTTACTTCAAAGGTCTGTGGGTCTGTCTAGCGCTGTGGTTTGTCCTACCCCATCACCCTGGGTGAGATACGGGTTCTCTTTACTGCTTATTTCCTCTGGCTTCATTGACCATAGATTTATCCAGCAGAGTCAGATGCCTCATAGGCGGACTTATTTTTTAAATATATTTTTTAAAGTTCTTTGACCTTTTGTTGTAATTTGTGGATATCATGTTCTCTAGAATTTCTTGATTTCCCTTGGAACCATTGCTCTGCTCTTGCGGAACAATTTTTCCCTTTGATCTTCACACCTGTCATTCCTAAGTTGTGCCCTACACCCATTGAGGGGAAGCCCCTCATGTGCCAACTTTGGTGCTGGTAGAGAGGTGTGTGAGGGGTTAGCCTTTTTTATTAATTAAAATATACCTGACATATAACATTATATTTGTTTCAGGAGTACAACAGAATGATTTGATATCTGTGTATTTTGCAAAACGATCACCACACTAAGTCTAGTTAACATCTGTACATAGTTATAATTTCTTTCTTCTTGTGATGAGAACTTTTAAGATCTACTCTCTTAGTAACTTCCAAATATGCAATACAGTCTTATTAACTCTAGTCCCCCTGTTGCATATTCTATCCCCAGGACTTGTTTATTTTAAAACTGGAGGTTTAGTCTCAAATAAATAAATAAAATCTTTAGGGCGCCTGGGTGGCTCAGTTGGTTAAAACTGGAGGTTTGTACCTTTTGACCCCATGTACCCGTATCGCTCACCCTCTGCCCCCCACCTCCGGCAGCCTTCAGTCTGTTCTCTGTGTCTCTGAGTTCGTTTGTTGTTGCTGCTGCTGCTATTTAGATTCCACATACCATACAGATCGCACAGTCTCTGTCTTTCTCTGACTCATTTCACTTAGCATACTGCCCTCACAGCATTCAGGTTGTCACAAATGCCAAGAGTTCCTTCTTCTTTATGATTGAATAATACACACATTGTCTTTATCCGTTCATCTGTTACTGAAACCCAAATTCGGCTGCCAATCCCTTGAAAGACCAATATTCAAGAGATGAGTTTTGGTGGGAAAGGAATATGAGCTCTATTCAGGAGGTCGGCCACCTGGGGAGAAGAGCCCACTCCCGGTTTCTGCCAGGCACAGAGATATTTAAAGGGCTTAATCAGCTAAGGGAGTACAGCGGTCTGTGACATTTCTTGCCGACGTGCAGACTTGATGATGTCAGCTACAGAGTTATCTTGGTCCTTGGCGGTTGTGCAAGAAGTTCTAGTTTTTTGGTGCCCAGGGGTGGGGGTCAGTTGAGCAAGGAGGTTTGGTTCCTTGGTACCCAGAGGTGGCACAAGAGTGTTCTGTTCTTTCTGCAAAGGAGGGCAAGAGCTACACATGTGCAAAGGGAAAGGAGAATCATTTATGTGTGTGACCTTAAAAAAGAAAAACATTTGGATAAAGATTGCTGGGCTAATCAGAAAGCCAAGGCGGCTTCCAACAGACTTGCCGGCCTCTAGGGCCTGGGAAAGTTCTGGTCCTTCCTTCCCCAAGGCCAGAGGTCTGCAAATCTCAAAGAAAGTCAGTTAATGCTGTTACAATCAAGGGCCTTAGGTCAGCAAGCAAGAAGTGTGTTACCTCGACTCAGGTTAACGCTTAAGACGGGCTGGAGCGCTACTCTACATCCGTCAGTGGACACTCAGGGGCTTTCGCGTCTGGCTGTTCGTAAATAAAGCAGCAACGACCATGGAGGCGCAGGGGTCTTTTCGAGGAAGTTAGCCTTTGCAAGGATACACTTTCTAAGGTAATACAAAAGGATAGGAAATGCTCCTTGGTTGTTAGCAGCAAGCTGATAAAAAGCAGCTGTCAATCAAAACCAGGACCTGAACCTGAGAAGACTCGATGCCTGAAAGAGAATAGGCTGGTGGGTGGAGCTACAGAGCAAACAAGGGTCTGAAGCGCTGCTTCTCAAACCGTCTTGTGCATTTGAATCTCCTGGGGGTCTGGTTCCAGGGAAGGCTGATGCCGCTGGCCCACAGGTCACACCGGGAGCAGTAAGAGTGCAAGGAAATAGAGCACCTGGGTGGCTCAGCCGGTTACACGTCTGCCTTCGGCTCAGGTCGTGATCCCGGGGTCCTGGGATCGAGTCCCGCGTCAGGCTCCCTGCTCAGCAGAGAGTCTGCTTCTTCCTCTGCCCCTCCCCCAGCTCGTGCATGTGCGTGCTCTCTCTTTCTCGCTCTCTCTCTCAAAAATAAGTAAATAAAATAAAATAAATTTTTAAAAAGAGTGTAAGAAGTAGAGCACATGCGCCATGGAGACCCAGCAAACGAGGAAATCCACTGCCCTATTCAAAGCTTGTTCTAGAAAACGCACATTCATACCTTTGAGCAACTTTCCTTAATTCCGTCCACACTGAATTGTCCAGGTTTTATTTGTGTGTTGGCTTGTTTTGCTTCCGAAGAGTAAGCAGCTGAAAACCTCCCAGGTAACTTTAGAAAGGCTTTGGACTTTGTATTTTAAAAGCTGCTAATGCAACCAAAGACTAATGGACACAGATCGTGTGTCAAATGGCTCATAATGAAAGCAAGCAAACAGCTGCTACGTGCCTACTCCGCCCTAGACGTTTTGATCGGATAAAGCTGATGCTTACTGGCATGTGAGAACAATGTCATCAACATTCTGACTCTGTTTTATCCTTCTCAGGTTTGGGAGGTCGCTGCACCATATATTGAAAAATACAGAATGGAACATATTCCAGAATCCAGACCTGTTTCTCCAACAGCCTTTTCACTGGAATTTCTACATAAGAAATCCATCAAAATTCCAGAGTCCGAGGATCTTTAATGGGCTTTGTCATAGATTAGCAGCTCAGGTCCTTGGTTGAACAGCAAGCAATATCATGCTGAAGAAGAGGCCTGAGGACTTTCTTAAGTAGATCAATCCATTATTTTGTTCAGTTCTGCTAAAACCTCCTTTGCTTAGGCTGGTGACAGCATTAAATTTGCTCACTCTAGCACTGTGTTCTTGTTGACCTGGTTTGAGACACAGAAGCTGTTTTCAGATTATAGGAGTTTTCTTTCTTCCTTAACAGTATCAACAGGCCACAGGCCATTTAACATTATTTGAATTTGAAACAGATTGATGATATTCTTTTCCAAAAACATTAGACTTTTGTGAATCTCTTTTTTTTTATGGTTTGAAAAGCTCTCCACTAGATAACTGTGGCTGTTTGAATTATACCACGATATGATGAATGTTCCTTACGAGGCTTTGATCAACAACTTCTGAAGTCATAATTTGTCCTGAAGCTTCTCTTCTATTAATTGCATCAGAGTATAGTCAATAGGTCCAACGAGGTTTTGTGTAAAGGAGTTTTGCTATTGGAGTGGCCCTTACTGATATTTATCAAATATCACTATACATCTCAAAAAAAAAAAATCTCAGATGCTTAAGCTGGAGTTAGAGGTTAGTATTATTACCTTCTTACTATGTGTTAGTACTTTATTCACAGTCCTTTAACAACCCTGCATTAAGAAGCCTCCTGTCCCACAGATAAGGAATCTTATGTTCAAAGGTAACCACCCCCTTCTCTGTAATGGTAATCCTTAAAAGGAGGAATTATTGACAAAGGTCGATGGGGCCCTGGGATGTGTTACCCAATCTGTTTTTTCCTCAAAAAAGAAGGCAAAGGGCCGTCTGGGATCATCTGGATGAAAGACGGGTTGGAGGAGCTCTTGGCTTCCCAAGGCTAACTGTGACTTCGCACCTACGTGTGCAAGGGCGTGCAAGGCACTCCAAGGGCGGGAGCCTGGGCCCACGGCTCTAATACATCTACGGTAGCCCGAGGAAAGAACAGACACACTTGCCAGCTTGCTGACCCGCTTCCAGCCTGAAATGGGTTCAACGGTGTATTTCACAGTAGGGTTTCCCTCCTTAGCTGGCACCCCGTCCCCAGGAAAAGGTGGAGACCGAAGTGAAAACCGCTGCCTACAGAGATTCGGTGACCAAAAGTGGGCCGAGGAGCCTGTCTACCGAAAAGCCCTTCTGGGGACGCTGTCCTTTGCTAAAGTGTCAACAGCCACGAATGAGGTTTCTTCGTGCTTAGCCACGAAGCCCAGTCGAGCCAGTAAACCCAGCAGTCTGGGGAGGACTGGATCCCCACAGGCCTCTGCAATCTTCCGGGGCACTTTCTGATTGAGTCTTCGAGACAGCTCTCTGACAAACAGATTATCACATGCCTCCAAGAGAATGTCAAGGTAAACGTGGAATAAACCATGTCTCAGTTGTCTTATGTCGTCACACTGGTCTTAGTTTTTTATAACAGAGTTGAGCGCCTCTTCAGGGAAAGCCTATTCTGGCTGCAGTTAATCAGGTGTCTGAAAGGTTTGGTCAGTGAATATTAGCACATCGCCGCGTGTCGTTAGAAAGTGTGGTTGATTCCGCTCTCCTTCCCGTGGAGTAGCAGCAAGGACTGGAGGCATCTCGATGTCCTCCCAGCAGGCTCACCCGGGCTTCTCCCGGTGCCGTCTCAGGGCAGCCAGAGGGCGAGCCCCACAGCATGAGGGCTGATATACTTCTACAACGCCCACACTTGCTAATGTCCTGTTGGCCAAAGCAAGTCACCCTTTCCAGCTCAAGCCAGTCTGGGAGAGGAATACTCAATGGCATTGGCATGTGGTTTGCGGTCCGTTACTGAAACAATCTACCACGTATGTAAAATCAAACACAGAACCTGAAAAATTCGAGACACTTTTCATTACTACTTTAAACTTTAGTCTTATCTTTGTGTCTGGTCACTGGATTATTATCGTTTTATTAAACCTTCTCATTATCTCATGACTAGCATGGTCATTTTGCCTTTTGGGGGTTATTTGGTTAAAGGTATTAATTTATTAAATGTAAACATTAGAAATACACCAAAAATCAAAGCCAAGAAATGTGTTTCAGCCCGCAGCGTAGGCCTCGTGAGTTACAAGGTGTCGCGTTCCCTTTGCTTAGTGATCAGTGCCAATGAGACAGAGGCGACTTTTCCTGGAGGCTCTGAGAAAATGTTTTCTCTCCCGAGAGCCACAGTAGCCAGGCTTTCTCATGCACCTGTTTGAGGTGAGCGAGGAGGAGGCATAGAGCACCCAGGGCTGTTGACAGCCCGCCCAACCCACTGGGGAAGCTGGCCTTGGGGTGATGCCAAAGCAGAGGGAAGGAAGGAATCTGAGTCTTCAGCATTATTGAGCTGCTGGAAAAACCCGCCCTGAAGCCTGTCCTTCTGGTGAATTTCCAAGGGTGAGCTAATATACGTCCTCATTTCTACAAGCCGATTTTAGTCAGATTTTGAAATCCATAACTGTTGGCATCTTCCCTCCCTCAGCTCTTTCTGAGGTGCCGTACTGGTACATCAATATCCCATGCAGGCCTGTATTCAAAGACTTCATCTAGTTGGGAACGTGAAATGGCCATTACTGTGGCAAGCGTGTGTCCCAGAGGAAAGCACCATATAACCACAGCACCTTTGGATCATCAGGGAGGCTGCCTGGAAGAGGTGACTGAGCTGGGTTTTGAGTGTTGGCAGTCAGAGAAGGGAGGAAAAAGGAGAAATGTAAGCTAAACGTCAATGTCAGAAGACATCTGTGCCAGGAAACCAATTCTCCATTTGTCCATTTCTATCATTAAATAAATGGTGGCCAAGATGGCCCTGGTCTTCGCCCTCATAGCTTATAGCTTAGGTAGGCAGTAGGGCCAGAGGATTAAACAAACAATGGCAATGTGCAAGGAGGAAGATGGGAAGATTGGGACGTAAGTAGAGGCCAGATCATCAGCAAGAGCATGGGAATTCATGTTAATGGCACAGGAGGGGAAACAAAACTACCAGCACAGGACACCTCAGATCTCGAGGGTGGGTGAGCCAGGACGGATTGCCGTGGCTTATTGGTGGTTTCTACACTCTGGGCGCCTGGTTTCTGATGGCTGCAGCAGCTGTAATAGAACCACTTGGAAAAGATGTGCCTTCGTATTTTGGAATAACTTTCCACCGGATAAAAATCTAAGGGGCTGGCATCGACTTTATCCTTTAACTGTTTACTGTAATAAAGACCAAGATGCTCATGCTTGGGGGGAGATCTGGCAAAAACAATTTAAATTTTAAAAGTACTGTGTTTCACCAGACTTCCTTTTAGGAGAACGCGCTTTTAATACGCCCTGGCTTTGGCTCTACTTTTGAAAGTCCGTCTTACCGCCCTAATTGGATTGTAAATTCCCCGAAGGCAGGACCCTGTCTAGCACTAGAATTTCAGAGATGGAGGGAATCCAACCTCTACAGATAAAGAGTTCAAGAAGAAATCAAAGGCCAGATGTCAAGCCGCAGATGTGTGTTTCTTCCAGCATGCCACGTGGCCTCACCTTTCTCCCATGGCATCTGGCGCGTGCACCCTCAATTCAGTGGGGGTGATACTGCGCACAGTGAGGCAAAAATTGGTTCTTGGGATGCGGAAGAACTTGCATATTATGATGGTTTGTGGTCTTTTTCCAGAGCTCAACCCTATCTGATAAAATCTTATTCTGTAGGGAGAAATTTAAGTTTTCTCCTGGTGGGGGGGTGGCCTGATAACTTTAAAAGGTTGAGAAAAGGGGCGCCTGGGTGGCTCAGTTGGTTAAGCCACTGCCTTCAGCTCAGGTCATGATCCTGGAGTCCCGGGATCGAGTCCCGCATCGGGCTCCCTG